TTGAAAACTATAGAGAAGGCAAGAAACCACTACTATATCAAGTGATAGTAGCATTCTGGCTTCAAGAGTACTCTGAATTCAAAAATCTAGAGAAGGCAATAAGAAACCACTCCTGTATCAAGTCAAGTGATTATAGTCTTCTGACTTTAAGACAAGGAAGAACAAAAATATGGTGAATGAGACCAAGAAGTGGTTCATTTTTATTGGTTAGGAAGAAATTCCAGCAGGCATCTGTATTTGTCTATAAATTTAGGTTGGGGATATTTTTGTATTCATTCCTAGCCAGATGGAATATCCATTTTTTAAGCCTTGTTTTTATCTTCAATGGGCCTGCTTTATATATTTTAAGCCTTGTTTTTTTTTTTTTTTTTATCTTCAATGGGCCTGCCTTATATATTTACCCCATCTCTCACCACTGGTGAGTGAACTCCTTGACTCTGCTCATCACTAGAGTATATTGTCCGTTCTTATTTTTGTGGATTGAATGGGTCATAAAACATACTAGTTTTTATTTTCATTTGTTTTGTTTTTAGTTTGATCATTGGGTTTGCTTCTTGTCATCTTCATTTTTATAATAAAATTGTAAAATAAGAAAAAAAATATTTGTATATATTAATAAATTTTTAACATCATGAGTGTTTTAATAGGACCCCTGTGAATATGTGATATTGTAGTACATGTTGGATTAGATGGAGAAGGATGAGTTGTTAAAGTGAATCTATCACAAGTCAGATTAGCTAGATATAGGATACAGTGTTGACCAGTCCCTCTTTTCTTTCAGCCTTGTGCCACAATCACATGTAAATAAACATTCCTAGCAGGATTGACACAAACAAAACATAATACCAATTTTTTGATTACTGCACTATTAGTGATTTGTATTTCTACTTTATTTTTATTTTTTTTGTTTACTCGCCTTTTAATTTACATTAAAAAATTAGTTAAGACCTGACATCACAGGTTACAGTGCATAAATAAAAGTTATTTTCATTATGTTTTAAGCGAAAGAAACATTATGCTTACCAAATCAAGTTATTAAATTTGCTAAGGTTTTTAAACACATCTCTAGAATAAATATTGAAATTTTAATAGTTTTTAAATTTACTCACATCTTTCATCTACATTGCCAGTTTGAGGAGTTGAGTGAATGTGCTAGTGTTTTAAATGCTTATAAACTTTACCTACAATTCTCTGCATACAATGTGGGAAAGCATGTGTCATACCCTATCCGGGTCAGCCACCAACCAGGGGAGGTAACACAGTTTACATGTGGAAGTTAATTTTTCTTTTAATACAGTTTAGATTAAGATTATTATTTTTCAAACAAAACCAAAATTTAATATCAAATTATTTTCATTTTTTTTTTTTTTTTTTTTTTTAGGAAGTCTGTGGTGGTACCTAATATCAAGTTTAAACACAAATTAATTTTTATAATGCTCTTGTCGACTACTGGAAGTTCTGTAATAGTGTTTTAAGTAAGACAAGAGTAAGTTTTCCAACCCAGCTTTCTTCACTCGGTTTGTGGTGTTATCATCTGATAGTAAAGCAGGATTTTTTTCTCATAAATTTTGCTCTTCAAATTCTACTCTTGACTCGTCTGGAGTATCTTTGCCTGACTTTCCACTTTGAACTGAGTTTCTACCGTGTGATATGCATATAACGTCATCCATGATTTCTGTTATCATTTCTAACCTGGATCCCCACAAAGCATGTGGGCTATCTCCTTAAAAAATGTGTTCCTGAACTGGTTCCTATTCTCTTTAAACTCTACAAGAAATGCCTTGCTACTTCTTGCTTGTTGGAAATCTTTTGTAGTTCCAGACTTTAAGAGCTTAGGTAAATTGTCTGATCCTTCTATCTATCTGCCTATTCTACCTCTTTTCAACAAAGCACTCAGTCATATGCCATATGTGATACATACTTAGGCAATCATGTATTTTTTGATACATGACTGATGAGGCAGATTTTTTCTCAAAGTAGGTTGCCATTTCTTTCTGCAGTAGACCAGTTGCCATTCAAGGCTAAAGAACCTGGTCTGTCCTGCTATTTACCTATAGATGGGGGGGGGAGAAGAAGAGGATTCATACCTTTCCCAAGGGTATTAGCACGTAAGTGAATGCAATGGACTCAACTGTAATTTAAACTCGACTCTCCGATTACTCAATCGGAGCCGTTATCCATTATTCCACCATAGGCTCTAATTAACTCGGAAATGGTTAATCATCTCATTTTGTAGGTTCTTTCAGATAAGCAATATGACTTGTTCTAAACTCAAAAATAAATCACTTGTTGCTCCTTGCTTTTCAACATGTTAGAAGTTCTCTTCTATAGTTCCAGTCTAAGAACTTAGCTGAACTGCCTGATTCTTCTATTGGCTTATTAGCTTTCTACCTCTTTTCTACAGAATACTAGAGGCTCTAATCAACTTAGAATTGGTTATGCATCTCACCTCACTGAGTCTTCATGTGTTTTGCAAAAGTAAAGGTCTTAACAGCAGAGAACAATGCTTAACTCAAATAATGCAACTTAATTGTATTCTGGTTGGCCTTCTGTACTTTATAATTACAGCCTGATTATAAACACAAAATTACATTTCTTAATTACTGCGGGTCTTCTGATTAGTCAAAACTATACAATTTACAATGCAGTAAAAAAAAGATCTCTCATAAGGACACTTATGAAAGTGGATGCAGCTTTTAACTAATTTTATAATATTTTAACAACTTAAATGTAAAAATCTATTATAATTAAAGAAATAAAAATTAATTGTATTAAAAATTCATTTTTCATCGAAAAACTTTTTTGCTTTCAGAAAATATTGTCCATATTCATAAAAAACAACTAAAAGCAAATAAAAGCATTTAAAAAAATTAAATAATATCTTTGTTTTATTTGTATGTTACAATTCAGAGCTGATTTTCAGGTGTGTGCGTGGGGGGATTTTTCCAATTAAAAAACCCCCCAAAAACATGATTTGCATTCCTCAAAACCTTGTGTTTTTAACTATTGTAATCACTTAAACAGAAACTGTATTCGATCGAATTCCTAGAGTTTTCATAAAATTAGTTATAGTGGTGGTAGTGGGGGGTAATAAATATATAAAAAAATATTTCTCCCATGATTTTAATAAAAAAACAAAACATTTATAATAATTTCCATCATCTATGAATAGTTTCTGAAAGTTTCATTAACATCTGACGATTATTTTTATTTTTGCAAGATTTTCCAAATTAATGTGTGTCCTACAAAAAAACGTGCTAAAAAATTGTATGTTATTTAATTTTACTAGTTCCGGTGATACAAAGAGAAACAAGATTTTTTTAATCAAAATTTAATGTTCTAAAAAGAAGGAAAATTTTTAGATGATAATTAAAAAAACTTTGGTCATTCCTCTTAATAATAACAAACATTTTTAGACGATAAAATTTTGTTTTCGTCAAGTTTGGCGTTTTTTTTCATCATGCTATGCTCTCTTTTTTAGCGATCTGTTGGAGTTGCCTACTGGTCCAGTACTTCTGTTGTGTATTTTTAGACTAATTCTTCATAAAATCAAAAGAATAATCTGCAATGTTTTTGGTCCTAATTTGGCATCTTGGCTTCAGTCACTTTTCCACTAGCTAACATAGCTTGCCTGTGACTTTTCTATAAATATTTTTATAGTAATTTTTCTGATGAGCTTTCCTTGTTACCTTGACTTTATGAATTTAAGCACAGGACTAGATAGGCAACTACGTATCATCATTTTAGATTTGAAATGGCTAAACAACATGTTCTATGTAACATTTTTTTCTCTTGCACTTTTTTTTTCTGGCTTTTACTTTCCAGTCAACATTGATCTTCAAAAATTCAAATGCAATGTCAATCTTTATTTTTTGTTGTCTTAATTCCTATTCTTTTGTTGTTCTTTCTCTTTAATGTTTTTTCCTTTTTCTCATATTCTTGCGTTTTATTGGCTTTATCGAATTGCTTGGAGGAAAAAAAAAGTTTTTTGGTGACGTTTTGGAAACAAGAAAAAAATGTTTTGTAATGTTTTTTTCACTGATTTTCAATTCGTATAAATGAACTGTGCAGAAATTTTAACAGACGGACGGATGTAACGGGAAAAAAAACAATAAAAATAAGTTATTATTTACAGTTTTGAATAAAATTATTTAAAGTATTATTATATCGTCTGAGATTTAAACAAAACAAAATAGGCGTAGAGAAAAGTTAATATCTAGGTAATCTTTACGAAGCAAAAATTTTTCAGCTAACACCGGCTAAAGCTTTTTCAGTCAGTATTTTTTTTTAATACTTCATTATTCACTGTACATAATTATATATTTTTAAGATTTCAGTACATCATTTATTATGTGAAGAAAAAAATCGCATAAAAATTTAACGGAAGAACAAAATAAATTCAATTTACAACTTTTTTTACAATAAAATATTACTTGAAATTCAAATTTAATTTGAATTGTTGGTTAGAGAAATAAATGGAATTATTTTTTTTCATAAAAAATGTAAATTCTACAATACTGAAGAAATCCTACTTTTCAAAACTAAGTTATCAAAAAAATACTAAAAACAAACTTGAATACAAAATGAATGTACATCAAACAAAAAATGAAAATGTTTAAAAAAAAAAAAAGAAGTTATTTTTGATTGATTATTCAACCCGAAATCAACAATAAAAAAAAATAAAAATAAATTACAAATAATCAAAACTAGAAGTTAAAATAGGTTTTTTTTTAAGGGATATTAGCGCTATATCGGGAAACAAAACCAAAATTTACCTATTTTTTTTCTTTTACAAGACAGGTGAGGTGATAGTTAAAACTTAAAAACAAAGCACGGATTTCGGCTTTTAACACTGGATTTGTCAATCAATGATTCAAGTTTTTTCTTTTTTTTCCTTTTTACAGTAAATTTTTACATTTTTTTTTGCATTAAATTTTTAAAATTTTACAATATACAAAACAAAAGAAACAAAATTTTAGTTGTTGTTTTCATCAACTTACTTATCCCAGTTGCAATCCCACTTAATACTCGGCGTATAGTTCGTTGTCCACGATGCTTCGACTTGTAGAGCATTCTTCTTCAGAAGGATCCTGAGATCATTAGAATTAACAACGACGAAAGTAACAGCAGTGGCCGTAGCGGCTACGGAAGAAACCACGCCAACTAGACGAAAAATGGGTCTCCAATCAAGCATTTTTTTTTTAAATTAAATTACTGTTTAATATTAAACTTTCGATTAATTTAAAAGCAAACTGAAACCAGCATCTAAGGATGTTCACTTGTCGAAAATGAAGTCACTTATGTCGTTATGAGCACGTGAAGCAAAATTAGATTAAAAAAAAGTCGAGGGACGAAACAATTGAGTTACCGGTTGAAAAAGTACTATGTGCGTGCGGAAAGGAATTTATAACTGTTAATTAAATGGCTTTTGTGAATCATCATAACATTTGAAAATTAACATTTACTTTTTTTTTTATTTCACGAAAAAATTCATTAGAGTGGAATTAAGACGGAAATAAAAATAGTGTGAATGCAAAAAAAAAAAAAAAAATAAATAAATAAATAAAATTTTTTAAAATAGGAATGTAATAAAACAACCAATGTACCAATTCTTTGTAAAAGAAAATGTAGTAGTAAAAGAAACCGAACAGAAATAAATTTAAATTTGACTAGGAAATAGAAAAGGAACCAAAGTTTTGGAAAACAAAGTAAGTTGCGAGCAGAGCGTGGGGGAGGGTTTATTATTGGACTGCTGTTATTTTTTCAGTCTTCACAATTCTTGATTTACTTTTGATAACTGTTTACTACGCGGCCATATATCTGCAAAAATAATGATAGTTTTAAAATGTCAAACGATCATGAGATGGGTACATGCGGTATGGGTCTCTTCTGGACTCTCACTGGCGTTATGAATTTATGTATATTGTCTTCCAGAACTATTGCAGATAACTCCTGCTTTTATTAGTTTTACTTTTAAAGATCGCCTCGCCCTGGTGTAAGTAAGCAGGAGTCGCAACAGAGTTCGAGGTTTGAGGTTCGATTCTCACTAATCTGCCTCGTTCATACTTCTTGTATTCTTGTGCCATAAATGAGATATACTTAGGCAACTCGATGTGGTGTAATTTTTAGCGAGGTTGTTGACAATTAATTATTGAATGAGTAGTGAATTCGTCCGTCTGTATGCCAAATCCAAAACTAGTAGCAACTAAAAAAACTTTAACTTAGGCTCTTAGCTAGGTTTAACGTGGTAATCCAGTTGACCATTGATGGTAAATTCGGTTTTTATGCCCTATTCATGGCTAGATTAAGTTATGACCTGTAGTATGGAGCACTATAAAATTTAAAAAATACACAAGTGATAAATTATATTAAAATTAATAAATTATTTAGTAATGTTTAACCTTCGTACACGCAAAAATCGGTTGTGTCAAAAAGACGGTTATTCTTCTTGACAGAAACTATACTCCTCCTTTGACTGCCTCGGCGATATTTATTTACATTTTATAAGATTATAAAAATTAAAAAATATATGAACCCAGCACAATGCCATATTTATTATTTACCTTTTATAAATATTTATACTGGCACTGTAATAAAAAGCTTAAAAACGGGTCAATAACTTAAACAATTTTCAACAAAGTCAAAGTCAACATAAACATTTTTTTTGTGAATCGCTGAATCATGAATTATTACTTTTTGTTTCTAGAAATAAAGAATTTTTTGCTCCTTGTTTTTTTTTTCTTTCATTTATAGTTTTTTATATTAAAGTTAAACCAGTTGGACAGATGTGAAATTTAGTTGCTGTTTTTATTGTTTGCAATTTACTTCTCAAATGCAACATTCTTAAAAAAAAACTTTTTTCCCTGCATCTGTACATAGATATGTGGGTTGGCATTAAAATTACATTTGTAAGTGTAGCAGAGTTAATACAGCAGATTTATTGTCACATGTTTACATTTTTAGCATCAAGCATGGAAGTAAACAAAGCTGTAGTGAGAACAGACGAGTAATGGTCATTGGAAGGAATTAAATCCTATATATATTTTTCAACCGATAAAATCCCATCAGATTTGTTGAATGAATAATCATTACAAGGGCAAATACCACCAAAATACTTGGGAACATAGTTGCAGAACTACCACATGTTATTTTTGAACCATTTATAAAATAACAATAAGCTCCCTTCACCACAACTGCAAATTCAAGAAAAATATTTTTGCAAGCCAGTATGAAATTATTTTCTAACTGATGAAAACTTTGTATTCAAAAAGTTCATACCTCTATGTGAAATTAGATTTTGAATCCCTTTAAAGATATAAAAATAGAAGCCTATTACTTCTTGGGACTCAAAACAATTTCAGAGGCTAGTTTAAGCTACATATGCATACAGCACTCCCCCACCAATGAAAGATATGACAGCCAGCAGCCGATGACTAAGGTCTTGTTCACATGCACAATAGAAGGGATTAACCAGCAACTGCTTACTAAGCCTTTTGTTTACAAACTCACAAACACATTAGGTTGACCATCATAAAGTAAGTCTGTTCACACAGAACTGCACTAAGAACATTTAATTAGTTTATAAAACAAATTTCACTGCAAGGGAAATTAAACATTTTATTGTATTTTATATTCCTGAAAAGAATATGTAAATGTTATTTCAACTAATATTCTGCTTCTCTTTTTCCTCCAAAAAATAACCTTTTTTATATTTCATTTAAAAGATGTGTTGTTGTTGTTAAATGTTTGGGATGCTGACACTCAGATAGCAATAAAAACCTGCATAGATGGATACTAACAGGAACATACCATAGAAGATCTTATTAAAGAATACATCCCAGCATGAGATAAACATTTCTTAAAAAATAGGTTAACTGTGCCTTGCTTTGCTGTAAAAGCTTCCATAGCCTAACAGTAAAACATATCTGGCTTAAAAATGGTTTTTGCAGGATAAGGTTCATTCCCTGTTGAGAGCTACATTTTCTATAATAAAATTTTCTATGTTTAGGCTAGTGGACATTTATTTTACTGTTGAACTGCCATGCCCATCCAAAAAAAACAAAACAAAACAAAAAAAAACAGGTAATTTAATCAAATACAAGTGTCAATTTACATGCCATTTATAGTAATAAAAGTATGTTTATTGCATATGTCCAAAATGTAATCACATGTAATTATAGCTTAGAAAACTTTGCACTGACAAAAACTTTTCTTTATAACTCTTCTAAACAAATTCACTGTTTATAAATCTATAATCCACTATAGCTTCAAATTAAAGCTTATTTCCTGAAATGAGATAAGTTTTTGAAACAACAATATTTTAATAATATAAAGCTGGTTACATATGAAGGTCTTGCTTTAGTACATAGTAGCTTGGCCTTGTGATGTTTTAGTAGCACATTGTAGTACTTGCAATGATCTGGGAAGGTTGGTTCTGGTTACATGTAGTTGATAAACATACAGGTTTTTGTCAGCAGCAGTTAGTAGATGCTATTAGAACCTGAGGTAGGAGGTTGGCAATAATGAAACAAACATATACAAAACATAAGGAAGATATATTTATTTCAGTTTATTTTATCACCAGCTAAAAGAGAAAAAGGTTTTGTATTTTATTTCTATTTCTTAATTTTGTCATTTTGTTCTGTGTTCTCTACAAATGTAAGAATATCTTTATACTATAGCATAAGTTGAAAAAAATAATCGCACAATCATAATTTAGACTTCCTCTGCTAAATCAATTATAATTGAGTAGAGAGTTTGATTCTCACTGGCTGCTCCTCAATTCTGGCTTTTCCCTTATCTAAGCTATGCTTAAGAAATCATAAGGGCATTTTGATGTGGTGTAATGCTGTAGCAAGCTTATCTCACTAGAACATTTACGACTGAATAGTGAGTTTGATCAACATTGGTTGCCCGATACTTTTGGCCTTATGCCACATCTAAGTTATGCTTAGAAAATCACCATTTTTGGGCAGGCAGAGACTTTTCCTTGATATTAATCGTTTAGAAATCCATAATTTCTATAATCTCAGACTAGAGCTTGTGGTGGTTGTAAAGTAATTTTTTGATTCATAGAGTGTTCAGAGTGCAAAACTCTTGTGTCACTCCATCAATCTCTTATATACCCCCCACCACACTCTACTACATCTCAATTTTCATAAGGTAGTATTCATATAAAATACATATTTTATTGTAACCTAATTATATACAATAATGAATCATATACTTGAGCAATTCAAATAGAAAGATTGAAAATAAATACAATGTATCTAAATTTAAATTAAAGACATGTCATAATAGGTCATTCCATCGTAAATAAATTAATGTTTTACAGCATTTTTTAACATCAACTTGTTAAAAAGTTGATTAATTTTAACACATTCAACATTATGTAATGTATGAAAAATATAGATTTTATATAGTGTTTTTCGAAACTTAGCATGAGTAAAGATTCAAGTTAACAAAGTTGAGTACTGATATTTGATCTCAGCAAAGGCATGTAGTGAAAAGAACAGAGAGAGCTTAGTTTCAGAATTCTACAATCAATGTCAGTGGATTTGAGACTTATTGTTTCTTATCTTAATTTCATGTTCAGATTCATGTTAACAAAGTTGAGTACTGATATTTGATCTCAGCAAAGGCATGTAGTGAAAAGAACAGAAAAGAATTCTACAATCAATGTCAGTGGAGAGACTTATTGTTTCTTATCTTAATTTATGTTCAGATTCATGTTAACAAAGTTGTGTGCTGATGTTTGATCTCAGCAAAGGCATGTAGTGAAAAGAACAGAGAGAGCTTAGTTTCAGAATTCTACAATCAATGTCAGTGGATTTGAGACTTATTGTTTCTTATCTTAATTTCATGTTCAGATTCATGTTAACAAAGTTGAGTACTGATATTTGATCTCAGCAAAGGCATGTAGTGAAAAGAACAGAGAGAGCTTAGTTTCAGAATTCTACAATCAATGTCAGTGGATTTGAGACTTATTGTTTCTTATCTTAATTTCATGTTCAGATTCATGTTAACAAAGTTGAGTACTGATATTTGATCTCAGCAAAGGCATGTAGTGAAAAGAACAGAGAGAGCTTAGTTTCAGAATTCTACAATCAATGTCAGTGGATTTGAGACTTATTGTTTCTTATCTTAATTTCATGTTCAGATTCATGTTAACAAAGTTGAGTACTGATATTTGAT